ACACACCTACGCGCGCTTGCACACACAACCCTAAACAAAATAAAACAAACAAAAAAAACTGTGAAAGAATCTGAATTTAAAATGTTCATTCATTCTCTATAATTTTAGATCAATGTTTCAAAATCCATATGGACACAAAATATCGACGATGAAATATATCATGTCATTTTCTGAACCTCCAACAAAACTGCTTGATTGTCCTGTTGCGGGTTTCCGAACTCACTAACATTGGCGATCTCGGTAGGCCTATCCTGAATATATCGATGCCTGGGGGTGCCTGCCCAGGCCGTTCCCATCGTCATTTGTAGTGGTAGGTCTACTATGCTACATTTCACTATACTAGGTCTAGTGATCGGTAAGGAGACTGTAATGTTGAGGTTACAGTAGAAATAGTATGGCAAAGCTGGCATTTGTTCTTTCTGTTCCCTTATATAGATCTAGAATTTTAATCTTGATGTGGTTTCCAATTGTAAATTATCATTTCTCGCCCCAGCCCTGAGGCTGAGGCCCAGACCTGCCGTGATGGGCCTTGGTCTTGGTGTCATAGTTCATAGATCTAATCTCTAAATCTAGATTTTCTAGATAGATCTAGATCTAGAGAGATCTAGAAACTAGACTAGATCTATATTCTAGATCTAGATCTAGATTCTACATCTGGCAAAATATCTCATAATAGGGGAAATGCAAGAATCTCGGTCTCTGTGGAGAATCCAACAGACACCCCCCCCCCCCCCCCCCCCCCCCCACAAAAAATCTATGTGTGAGGGGGGGGGGGGGGGGGGGGGGGATCGTGTCACAAATTTCACAATATATGGCACCGCAGAGGGTATGTCCTGCTTGCCATTGCCAAAAAACACCCCTGCGAGTGAAGATCAAAACAAACTAAAAATAACAGAAAAAGAATAGATATTTTGTTCATTTTTTATTGCCACTCATATCCCCTCAATACTTGATGATGGATTCAGTCATTAGGATGATGGAAGTTAATAAGTATGCTAGTCCCTGAATGCTAACCGGAGAGGACAACAATTTTGTGAAGTCTTTGTACAAAGTTTTAGCATGGGCCAGAAAAATGCTCACCATTATCCTTTTGCATCTTGACAAAAAAACAACAAAAAAGAAAAAGAAAAACTACACACTCTCATACACACACACACACACACACACACACACAAACACACACACACACACACACATACACACACACACACACACACACACACACACAC